ATCGAGTCTTCCGATACCATCGACAATGTCAAGGCCAAGATCCAGGACAAGCAGTATTGTAAGAAAGCAGCTGGGTGCGCTGCAATGTCATTGTACATACTGCGTTCTTGCTGACAGGTTCTCTAGGTCCCGCTTGCGCCTGCGTTATGGTCCTCGTTGTTAAGCCCACGCCCGAGACAGAGTCCCTCCACGCGATCGACAATGTTAAGGCCAAGATCCAGGACAAGGAGTATAGAAAAGAGGGATCTGGGTGCGTAGTATCGTCCTTATACTCACTGTGGTCTTGTTGACATGTTCCGTCAGTTCGCTATGCACCGCCGCTACATGTATTCACCTCAAGCCTGCGCCCGAGGTGGAGTCGACGTACATGGGTCACTGTGTGAAGGCGAAGATCCAGGATAAGGAGTATAGAAAGGAGGCATCCAGGGCCGGCGCTGTGTACATCCTCTTCACGCCCACGCCCGAAATCGAGTCTTCCGATACCATCGACAATGTCAAGGCCAAGATCCAGGACAAGCAGTATTGTAAGAAAGCAGCTGGGTGCGCTGCAATGTCATTGTACATACTGCGTTCTTGCTGACAGGTTCTCTAGGTCCCGCTTGCACTCGCATGATGGTCCTCGTTGTTGAGCCTACGCCCGGGGCCGAGTCGCTCCACGGGATCGACAATGTTAAGGCCAAGATCGAAGACAAGGAGTATAGAAGGGAGAGATCTAGGTGCGTAGCATCGTCATCATGCACACCGTCGCTTCCTGACATGTTCCCTCAGTCTCCTATGCGCCACCGCTATACATATCTTCCGCAAGCCTGCGCCCGAGGTCGAGTCTGCCGACGCGATCGACTATGTCAAGGCCAAGATCCATGACAAGGAGTATGAGAATAGAAGGAAGCCTCGCCGTGCGCTGCTGCGTCTATCAGCGTTGAGCCCGCGCCCGAAATGGAGTCGTCGGGCACGATCGACAATGTCATGGTTAGGGTCCAGGACACAAAGTATGGGCAGGCGGCTTCTCAGTGCGTTTCATCGCCATCACACACACGACGCTCTCGCTGACATGCTCCTAGGGTTTACTTGCGCCGACGCCGCGCGCACCGTCATCGACCCGACGCCAGAGGTCGAGTCTTCCGATCCAGGATAAGAAGTATAGAAAGGAAGGTTCTAGGTGCGGGTACCGTCATCATACACACTGTGGTCTTGCTGACATGTTCCCTCAGTCTGCTATGCGCCACCACTATACGTATCCTCTGCAAGCCAGTGCCCGAGATCGAGTCGACGTACATGGTTGACTGTGTGAAGGCGAAGATCCAGGATAAGGAGTATAGTAAGGGAGTATCAAGGTGCGTTGCTTCGTTATCGTACGGGCTGCGGCCACTCTGACATGCTT